TGCACTAAACGTCCATGTCATGGGGGCTGGGAATGCCGCACCTGCCGAGTCACATCCGTGCCTCTAGGTTGGCTTTCCTACGCCACACATTGACTGGAGGAGATCCAATTCTGGAGGGGACTGTTAGGGACACGTTCCCTGGTCTTACCATCAGTCCCCGCATCTCGCGGGTTTTGCGCGGTCATAAACCCCCGGATCAATCGGTTTTCCTTCGCGAGTGTCGGTCGGCCTTGAGGGCTGTTCCCCGGTCCAGTGACCTTTCTCGGCCTAGGAAGGTCTTCTATCGTGAATTAGTGGAGAGATCCGCGAAGGATCCCCTACGAGATATGCTCGGCTTGTCGGAGGAGGAGTATCGCTCCTACTGGTCTTGGGCGCCAGCGGCGGATTACCTCACTAACCCTGAGTTTTCTCTTAGCTGGCGATTGGCTCGGAATCGGCTGCCTCTCAACGACAAGGCTTTCATATGGGGTTTGGCGGATTTGCCAGACTGTGAACGGTGTGGCCTTGGCTTAGAAGAAACGGCTGCGCATGCCTTCTACCATTGCCCCCAGGTCCGCCCCATATGGGACCATGTCGGCGAGCTGATGGCTCGTCTTGCTCCCGAACAGCTTGTGGCCATTGATCGTGCATACGCGTGTGACAATGTGTCGCCCCCGTATTCCGGGATGAAACGGATGGTGTTTCTGACGCTGATGGCCACGGCTCGAATGGTGATTTGGACGACGCGAAAGGAGGAAGTCTTGCAAGGCAATTGTCTTTCTCATTCAGATCTAATTCGATTCTTTGAGCATCAACTCAAGATGAAGATTAGATCGGATAGAAAACGATTGCATTCGACAGTCTTTAGCGAAAAGGTGGGTAAAAAAGCGAGCTTGCCCGTGTGAACGGGCTAGCCTTGATTTTCTCTTCTAGGTCAACCTATTGCACATCGGGTGGCTTCCTGTGGAACCCTCCCTTGGTTAGGTTAGACAAGCTTCAGTGTACCTAGTTAATGTGAGTAAGTGTTGTTTCTGGCCTGCATCCCGGCCGTTCTTTGGTTATGATCCAAGTCGAGATTCCCAACCTCCCCAGTTTGTTTTGACCCCACCCCCTTTCATCTCGACTGGGTCAGTTTTATATTTTCCCATTCCAGCCTAATATTTTATACTTTTTCCCACTCCCTTAGCGAGAGCGTCTCTTGATTTTGTCCCCTGGGCAGAATAGAGTGGTCTTATGGAATAATACAGTAATTCCATCTTCATTTTACGCGTGTGCGAGTTTTCCTCCCTCCCTTCCTTCCACACTTGTGCGTGTGCGTGTGCGCGCGCGCGTCCTCTGAGTACACCCCTTCCTCTCTCATTAAGCTAAATATAGCAGTAAACCATTTCTTTTGTTTTAACTAGAGTAAGTTATTGTCGTTTTATCAGCTCCTGCTGATGTCACCAATCTAACAAATTTAAATTATCGTTTTTTCCCGCGTTTTTCTCTGACATCACGGACAAACTAATCGTTTGAATTCAGTCGGGCTAAAAACTTCGATCCAACAAGTTCACTCATTTATCCCTCATCAGTTAACCTAACCATTATACAGACAGGGATATCTTATCGGCAAACATTCTTTGTCTCTTTTTGGCTCATCATAAGTAATTTACATCAAAACGATGCAACCAACAACAATTAATTCTTCGTCCCTTTTGGCTCATCGTAAATAATTTTCATCAAGACAATGCAACCAACAACAAATAATTCTTCGTCCCTTTTGGCTCATCGTAAATAATTTTCAGCAGTCAATTCAATGCCTGACCCCAAAATCTGAGACAACTGAACTTTCTCACTACTGTGAACCTGAACATAAAAAAAAGAAAAAAAAACACAAAAACATTACACACACTTACAATGCCCAAATCCACAGTAAGTACTTTTTTATCTGTGCACATCTACACCTCGTGTTAACGAGTTCCTTTTTCCAGAACATAAAAAAAAAAAAAAAATTTTCCCGCCTTGTTCACCTTGCTATCCTATTTTGGCGCGGAACATTTTCTCTGATCTCATACCACGAGATAATCTACTTGTTTTTCCATTTAATAAAAAATTACACTTGTTTTGCATCCAGTCGCTTTCTGTCATTCTGTGCAGGTTATCTTCTTAATATTTTTAATATATGCACGTGTGGATTAAACACATTCCTTCTCTGTTCGTTCACGCATTTTTTTTTATACATTGTTTGTGGACTCGGTAGTTTAGTGTGGTGTCTGGCACAAGGCCACTTTGTAATAAACCAGCACTGCACCCTACCGGGTCTGCAACAGTCTCTCTGTTTTATATGGGTTGGACGGTCCCTACTAACATCAATTATGTTTAGTTTGTATTTGTGTTTATTTTAAGTTTATTATTGGGTTCATTTCCCTCCCCTCACATTTTATCATTATTAGAATTGTATATATATATATCATCATTAAAATTTTTATGGCATGGGGCGCGATTTTGGTAGGTCTCCCTTGAGAGCACGTGGTATTATGGTGGTTGAAGGATTGTTTGGTGATGGACAAGTTCTTTTGGTGAATGGGTAAAATGTAATGTACGAATGGGTCGCGAATCTGATTAGCTAGGTATAAGATAGTTAGTGTTGACCAGCCTCTACCCCTCCCCTTTATTGGCCTCGTGCCACAATTTGTACTTTTTTTGTACGAATAAATATCAGTCCTATTTTTTCTTGTCGATAACTCAAAACGGTAGGTTTCTTCATAATTTAATTCAAGTTCAGCATGTACATCTACATGGAATTATGCCGATTTGGGAACATTTTATTTTTAAAAGATATTTAGCGCGGGTGTTAAAAAGCAAATTTGCCCAAAATATTAAAAACTAGTCATTAACTTTATTATTTAATTTATGTAATTTTTTCTCATTAATTTTAACAAGTAAATCATTACAGTTCTGTTCACTCAATAACAAGAAAATGTGGTAATAAAAGAAAAAAAAAACATAACTTTTAGAAACAGTAAGAAAATTCGTTTTTGAAGAACAACAAAACAACGGTTTTTTTTTTTTTCAAGAACACTGAATAAACATTTAACAAGAAAATATTAAATAATTAACTTAAACTTTGAACAGAAAATGGTTGAATCAATGACTAAAGGAAAGCTAACTTTTTTTACTATACTTTTTAAACAATTTTCTTACAAGACGACACTGGAAAAATGACTGCAGGAGTGCAGGATTAATTAATTTCACTTCATTCAGCATTATGAAAAATAAATACTGAATTAAATTAAATATTTAGAATTAAATTATCATTAAATTTATGTAAAAAAAAACAATCTTAAATGTTTTTAATTTTACGTTAATAATGGTAGTTAAACTAGTCTAAAATAGTTTTAAAATGTTTAAAATTAAAAAAAAATACTCGTAAAAAAATTAAATTTTATTAATGAATAATTCTTATGAATAAGAATATCAAAGAAAAATATTAAAATTTTGTAGCCATTGACAAATAATGGCAAATTATTTTAATTTTAAATTTCGCAAAAAAACCCAAAAAAACAGGCGTACAAAAAAAATTAAAAAGTCTTTGGAAAATGTAAAAATCTCATAGAAGAATCTTAATAAAATATAAATGAAAAATGTTAAACAAACTTAAAGGGGAAAATATTTAAAATAAACTTTTTAGAAGACCAAGCATTTTCTTTTTTGCGTAGTGAATTAATTAATTACAGACACCCAAAGATTTGTTTTTAAAAAAATATAGCAACTTAAAATAAATAAATCTTATACTTGCTTCGATTAAATAAGGTGAATAATAATCCAAATGTCAGGACACATTTCTTTGAATTTAAACTTTAAATTCAAAACCAATAAACTGACTTAGCTATCTTAAGTTTTTCAAACTAAAAAATAATAAATACCCAGTATTAAAAAACCGGCTTCCATTTCTTTCCGCTTTCTGTTCGTTATGACTTGGCGTCTAATAAAGGACGCCGACATTGGTTTGAATTTTAAATTCTTTTCTAAAAGGAACAATATTGTGAATCAGTTACTAATATTTTAAATTTAATCTTCAATAAATTAACAGTTGGAAGTTCAATGAAAAGCAATTTTGATTTTGAAAATGTTTTCTTATTACACACCAACAGTGGGTTCATAATTATGATTTTTTTTTAAAATGGCTTGAAAAAATATGGGCAAACATGGACCTTCGTGCCTGCAAAGGACTTTTTTTTTCACCTCTATTATTTTAAGGCAAGGGAGTAATGGATAGCGTCTCGGATTGAGGAAACGGAGAGCCGAGTTCGAACTCGTTTCGAATCCATTTACATTCACTTACGTGCTAATTAATACCTTTGGGAAAGGTATGAATCCTTTTCTTCTCCCCCGAGCTATGGGTAAAAAGCAGGACAGACCGAGTTCTATAGCCTTGGATAGCAACTGGTCTACCGTAAAAAGAAATGACAACCCACTGAGGGAAAAAAATCTGCCTTGTCAGTCATGTATCTTTCGATACATGATTGCCTAGACGTATCACGTATGGCACATAACTGACTGAATGTTTAAGAGTATAAAAAAAAACATAAAAAATTATTTACCTTTTATAAAGATTTATTTTTTTACCATTTTAAAGAAATAAATGTGAAAAGAAATCTTTTTAAAAAAATTACAAAGTTATCAAAATAAACCATCTACAATGCAATAACTTTTAAAACATAAACTAATTTACCTACCTTTTAACTCCCTTGGCAATGTTTTTTTTTTTTTTTAAGCAATGATTAGAATTGTAATAAAACCCAAACATATGAAATTGAATTTATATATTTTCATTGTTCTTTGAGAATTTACAACAAAATTATTAAACACTATTTATTTATTAGATTGCTTATTTATGAAAATATTATATTTGCAACATTCTTAAAATGTCAACCAACTACAATGTAATAATGCCTATCATTTATCAATTTATAAAGAAATGAATATTAAAATATATATTTTTTAATTTGTGTGTATTTAAGAAGTTTGGTTTGTCAGACAGATTGGAGCTGACCTTAGAGGGGAAAAAGAAGTAAAAGAAAGCAGAAGGCTATCAGCCTTTACAGGTGAATGACTGTAAGCTGCTTCTGGGAACTGAACAAAGAGAAACTCAAAGCTGCCACCACCACCATTGCTGAAAAAGTAATAGAAGAAAGAGAAAAAGAATAACAGAAGAAAAAGATCGGGAAGAAGCATAAAGAAAGAAAAAGAAAGTTTATGCAAGAAGTTTTTGCAAGAAAAAAGAAGTTCTTGCAAATTTAGAAAGATATACAATTACCTTTCTATACTTGTTTGTGAAAATTTGTAAAAAAATTACAGCTATTAACCTTGATTTTGAACGTTTTTCTTGTACAAAACCAGCTCCACACATATTTTCCAAGAATTCGCTTGGTGATTGGTCCATAAACAAGCAAGTGGGTGTCACCATCCACCCATGCACATCTATTTTTCATCTCGTGATTGAGTTAAATATTTTGGCGCTAATTTTCTGGAGCCTATCAGGTGTCCAATCAAGTAAATAAATTCAGCACACAAACTCATCTCGCTAGTGAACATCGTGACCACAAACTAATTGCTAAAACAAATCCACGTCACTTTATCATCTGAAGTTTTAAAGTTATCTTTTAACATGATTCAAACCTTCAAACATCACTCACTCATCTTCATATTGAACTTCTTTTATTACAGAGCAGAGAATTGCTTATCACTTCAAGTTCTCAATCACAGAACATTATTCATCTTCTGAATTTGCTTAAACAATTCAACATTATTTCTTGACAAAAAACGGTCAAAGAAAGATAACTTTTCCCACAACTAAATTTATTCCGAACTACATTGAAAATTTACATTGCACAAAACTGTTTAAATTTCACGTAAATAGATTAATACTTTCACTGACTTTGTGAGCTTTTCATCACAACTTCCACATACAATCTTTCACTTAAACTCACAAACTACATTCCAAACATCTCAAAAAGAGTTTATACAAAGATTTAAACAAACACCACATAGATTTCATTTACAAATCTGAATTCACTCCAGCATAAATTGTTGTATTTTCTTATGCTATATAAATGAAAATTTGTTTGTTATATTGTTTTGTGTTATTTCTCATTTGTGTTCATTGCTCTGTAATTCATTAAAGAAGTAATTAAATGTGTTGAGAATTTACATTACTTTGAACACACAACTGAATACACTTTACAAATTGTAGCTAATCCCAACGTACCTCTATAGATGATAACCCCAACGTTGCACTGAATAATAATCCTCTACAATCTCACTCTCAGTTATTAAATTTTTAACTGAGATAATATAAAATGCAATGATAGCAGTAACTCTACAATTTGAAATTTTATGGTATTTAGTATTAATTTTTATTCTTTATTATTAATTGCTGTTCTTTGATGGTTATGCATTGTTAAAGTTATTTTATTTAACTCACAAAAAAGAAACTTAAAAAACTAAAAAGAAATTAAATTATTTTTCTTAAGCAAAAAAAAAAGTAATAAATAAAACAAATTATTTGATGCATGAGACACACTATGAAATGTATACACATTATATAAAGTAAGCTGATTATATAGAAAAATTTAAAATATTTAGTGAAACAGGAAATAAAAACGTTGGAAATCACTCCTTCCAGATTTAAAAAGAAGCCTGTTGAAATGTAGGGACGGCAGTGAAATGAAAGAATTGGACAAAAACGTTTACATGTCAAGAAGTATTTCCTAAGGGGGGCAAGCCTTGAAACATGTAACCTTTTAACCATAATATCACTTATGATACACCATACTAAAAAAAATATAACATTTTGACACACACACAAAAAAAAAAAAAATTATTTTTAATTATGGTAAAAAGTTTTGGTGTGGTGATTTGTATTAAGCCTTTTAATTTTCTCTTAATAAATATAATGTTCAATTAATTATAAGTACTATAAAACAATTTGAATACAATTTGAAATTTTAGAATATTTCATGAAATTAATTTACAGGGAGGGTAACAGATTTAAAAAAATATTTTTACCAAGATTTTCTAAAAATAAAAATTTCAAAAATAAATTCATTCATTTTTGAATAAGTCCTAAAAGTTTCATTAAAATCCGAACATTATTTGATTTTTGCAAGAATTTCCAAATTAATGTGTCATTTTACCCAAAACGGCAACATGAAAATTCCATTACCACAAATCTTACACAGTTGACAAAAAAACAAAATAAGATTTTTGACCAAAATTTAAAACATGTTAGAAAGGAGGAAAATTTAAAAAAAAAATAAAAAAAATACTTTTTTCTTTCCTCTTAATAATAACATAAACATTTTGAAGATAAAACATTGTTTTCATTAAGTTTGGGGCCTTTTATGTTCATGCTATACTGTTTTTTTAGCGAATTATTGGAATTATATGTCAAGATTTTCTAAAAAAAAAAAATTCAGAAATAATTTCATTCATTTTTGAATACATCCTGAAAGTTTTGTTAAAATCCGATTATTTGATTTTTGAGAGAATTTGCAAATTAGTGTGTGTTTTACTTTACCAAAAAAATGCAAAAAACTAACCTTTATCATTGGTTCGGCTGCTGATGTAAACAAAACAAGATTTTTAACCAAAATTTTAAACATGCTAGAAAGGATTTAAAAATTTCAAAAAGTAATAAAAACAATACTTTGGTCTTTCCTCTTAATAATAACATAAACATTTTGATGACAAAACTTTGTTTTTATTGAGTTTGGGGCTTTTTTCATCATGCTATGCTGTTTTTTCTGTGAAAAAGCGGAGTTAACCTAGAGGATGTCTATATCACGGCAAAAGAAATAGTCACAACTCCCACACGAGGAAAAATTGGGAGACAGCAAGTCGTCGCAATTTCTACATCTTTTGCAACATATAACCAGAGAAGGTGATGAGGATGGCATGATATGTCATATTTTTCTCCAGCGTTTGCTGTCTATGTATCACGCTGTTTTAGATGCGGTGGGTGAAGAAGATGCACCCGTTGAAAAGCTGGCTAAAATAGCAGATAACGTGGCAGATGTAACTTCAGGATGCACTGTTCCCATTTCTGATGTACAGACTCAAGAACCAGGTCCGCTGGTTAGACTCCTAGAGGGAGGTTAGGATGGTAGACTCAGAGAGATGGTTAGCATTCCCTGCTCACCAAAGTAGAGGTTGCGCGAGAGCTAGTGTGGGGGTCAACTGCCCTCACTAATTTATATTAGACAATGCCACAAAATAATAACAAGACGGAACAAGAAAATTCATACAAGAGAAATTGTACAAGTAAATAGATTTTTATATAACAAATGTACAAAACAATAGTTATGAATATTGCTTAAAATGGTGAAATAAACTTGTCTTTTTAGATTTTTGTGTGAGGTAATGTTCCAGTTTGATAGACTGCAAGTTGTAGGGCTAATTTGTGTGAATTTGGAAAAATTCAGTTCAATGTAATATTATTTGTATTTGAAATAAACACTTGAAAGTTTGTGGAAAAAGTGTGTGTGAGTGTGACTTATGTTGTTTTTGACGTTTGAATATCTGTCGAATTGTTGCCAATGTGAGTTTAGTTTGCATTGAATGAAGGAAATAGACTGTGGTTATGTTAGAATTTTAACTTATAGTCTGGGCTTCTTTTGAAAGTTATTTTATGATGAGTGTCGTCAATTAGCGTGTAGTTTTTTCAGCTTATTTTCCCCACCCTCTGTTTCTTAATTGTTTCTTGTTTATATAAGCAATATAAATCATGTGCTAGGTTCCAGAAAATGTTTTAAAATTTTGGTGCAACTGTACCTTTGATCAAGTTAAATTAAGTTTAGACGTGTGGACATAGTCGATGACATGCCATATCATATTTTTGAACCAATCAAATTATGTTAGTTGTGTAATTTAATTTGGAGCCTATGTTTTGTTTAATTTTTGAAGTTTTCAGAACAATATAGGATCTGGATCCTATACTAGTAGCAAGGACCCAATGTGTTACTTACACAGGGAATAAGGCTAATTACTGTAAGACCCCGCTCCATTTGTTTAATTCGAAACAGAGAAAAGCCTTAGTGACTTGGTGCACTGGCATGGGAGATGTTTGTTGCTTACTATTTGTTTGGGGTTGCACTACTGGTATACATTTTCTGGTGGACAATGGTGCGCAAATATTCTTAATTCCTGCAACTAGGGCAGACAAATTAAAAGGCCCTTATAAACTTATCCTACAGGCCATATATAAGTTGCTTACCAGATATCTGGTCAGAGGTGCCTTACATTGAATTTGGATTTGAGACAGGATTTCACCCACTTCTTTGTCTTTGTGGATGTAGAGAAGGCCATATTGGAGGGGACAGATTTCATACACAAATTTGATCTTCTCACTGATGTTAACAGATGTTGTCTGACTGAGCCTAAGACAAATACTCAATCACCTGGAGCCATTCATAATGTAATTCTATTATGTCCTACTGTGGCTAACACAAAAGATAACCCTATATTTTGTGAACTTTTAAAAAAGTTTGATAACATTACAAAACCGTCTTTTCACAAGGATACACTACTCCACACTATCTTACACCACATTGCTACTAGCGGCCCTCCTGTTCACAGCCATCCTTGTCTTTCCTTATTCGGATTTAGTGTTAGTGTATTAATGGCTACACTAATGCTAATAATAGTGCTCTGTGTACAGGAAAGCATTATTCTTCCCAGCACTAAATAGCTGACTAATTATGGTTGGCTTGCAAAAGATACTAATAAGACTGTTTTATTATTTTTCTTTTGCTTGCAATTTGGGATTTTTTCCCAAAAATGCTCTTTAATTTATTTTTAATAGCGTTTTGTTATCATGGGAAATGAAACAAAAAGATCTTTATGAGCTGAAATGGACTTTTGATACTTTAAACCAGGTCAACAAATACTGTCACGGTCAGATTTTATTATCAAAGTCAATTTTTTGTCTCTGAAATTCATGTTAACCAACCAATGTTGATAAAGTTTCAGCATATGTTCATATAAATATACCATGTGAATTAAAGCCTATTCTTTTCATTAGAAATATTTATAAGTGGTGTGAGATTTGATTATTCAAATAATTATTTAATTGTGTTATAAGTATGTAGTTATTGAGACTTATGTTTTTTTTTATTTCAGTTACAAAGATTGTGCAATGGATTAGAAGAAAGATATCTTGGATAAATGATATTAAAGTCACTGGGTGATGGAAATTGCTAAAAAAATAAATTAGAGAATGAATAAAAAAGAAACTGAAAACATTGGCAAGATAAGTACAAGAAAAAATAATTGAAAACTAATGTGAGTGCCTTTTTTTATATACAGTTTTTAAGTTCTCAGTAATCATAAAATTTTAGGAAAATATTCTTCGTAATCTAATGTTTTATTGAATTTAAGATGTTTTGGTTTTATTTTCTGATAATGTGTAGTAACAACTGTAACTAGAAAAATCAGGACTTTCTAAAATAATTGCAGCGGTAGGATTGGAATCCCCAGGACAAGGAGTTTCCTTAAAAGTAATTTGGTTTTTGTCCAAGCCTGAAAGCCAAAAACAAGAAAAGCATCTGTGTACAGTTGTTCAGGACTTAAATTGGAAAGTCAGTGATTGGTTGAGGTGGCACAAAATTGCCATAATGCTCTCTATATAAAAGCAGAAGTCACGTGAACCTTCCTTTTTTGCTGGTAGATAACATGCAACACATTGTCAATTGTTTTATCATGGTAAGTCACCATTTACTTCACCACAACCAGCCATTAATGAAGTAAAAGAAACAGTGAATTTCAACCATTATAAATACAACAGAGGTTCAAAACGGACTAAACTAAGATTTTATAGTGTTTTAGAAGTCATTTGATGAGATGCTTTACCAGAGACTACTGCATTGCATATTAATGCTATCTTTGAATTGGACAAGATGGTGTAACCCTAGATGCAAGCCACCAATCTGCCATTCAGTGGTATGCCATTAGTGTTTACCACTGGTGGTCTGCTGTCAGACTGCCGATGTGAAATCTCAGCAATGTTACCACTGAGGGACCACCAGAGGCCCACCGGTGGGCGACTAGCAGCTTGTATGTTAGGAATTTCTGATCCTAATAAAATGATGTCTAATATTGTAAAAGTGACACTTGTTATAGCAGTATTGAACTTAGTATGTTCTTGGAAAATTGCCAGAGACATTTCGTTCAATGTTTTTTTCTGACACCCTAACTGAATGGGATAGAACTTTAGTAAAACCAGTCTAAGTACTCACATCTGATTTATTAAAACCGCTAAATTATCTGTTTATTTAAACTTTCTTGATCACACGTTTTTAATAAATTTATGAATAAAAATATTTATTTCTTTTTAGATTAATAAATGATAAACATTGTATTAGCTGGTTAGCATTTTTAGAATGTTGTAAATATAAAATTATATTTGCAAATAAACAACCTTGTAAATAAATAGTGTTTAATATTTTAGCTGTAAGTTCTCAAAGAACAAAAAATGCATTAATTCACTTTCATATGCTTGGATTTTATTAAAATTCTACTTTTGATGCTTTTATCTGTCTCTACCAAATAAGAATGGGATACTGTAGCTTGTTAAGAACATTTTCTTTTTCACATTTTTTTATCTGAGTGAATCCTTACTATATCCCCAGGTTTGAGCTCAAGTAGAGTCTGAGCTGAGGTAATATTGGTGGATCTTTTTAATTTATTTTAGTGGTGATGTTTAATAAGAGGCAGGGTCAATCGAAAATTTCTATCTATGAGTTGCAATGCTCATGATGACGCATCATTAAGAGAAGTAGATCATAGGGTAAGAATAGCTAGATATAGGTTTTGGTCACCTTTTCATTGTTTTCTTCAGAGTGCTTTTACCCATTTCAATGGTGCACTTCACAAGACCATTGCTTTACCGGTATAGAGCACTTGATGTGTCATGATGGAAATCCCAATCCTTAGCAAATATTTTGAAATCTTTTGGTTTAAATTCAGGACCATTGTCACTGATTACAGTCTGTGGAATGCCGAATTCTGCAAACATGCTTTTGAGATGCATGATGACCGTGGCAGATTGTTTATGTGGGCGACTGTAAATGTCAAAAAATTTGTGGTATAATCAACAGCAATCATGTATGTTTTTTGTGTAGTTCAAAGATATCGGTGCCAATTTTGGCCCATGGTTATTCAGGAATTTCATGGGTGATTAGGTTATTTGGTTGAGTAGGTTATTGGTGGCATTCATCAAGGCAGGTGCTGCAGTTGCTTATCATATCTTTGATCTCGGCTGTAATGCCAGACCAGTAAACATGATCTTTCACTCGAGCAAGACACTTCTCAATGCCTTAGTGTCCAGAGTAGATAAGATTTCGGTTCTCTCTACATAGGTCAGTTGGGACAATTATCTGTTTCCTTTTAACAGTAGATCATTTAGCACTGAAATGTCCTCTCTTTTATTGCAGAACAATTTTACCTATGGGTCTACTTCTTTATTTTCAGGTCAACCTTGAAGAGAATATCTAGCTAGAAGTTTTAGTGAATTGTGAGTTGCTGTTTTTTACAGTAAGTGTTGAGTTTCTTGTAAATAATTGTTCATGATTCGTTGATCAGGTGTACATGGGCTTCCATGTCTTCAGTGGAGATTTTGATTGTGCACATGATAGGTTGTCAGGAACTGCTGCATTTTTCCTTAGGATGTAATTGAGGGTGTTATCATATTGCTGCAGTGCCAACATGAATCGCTGGATGTGTAGTGGTGCTTTGATAAGTGATTTTTTGAAGATTGACAACAGAGGACTGTGGTATTTTTCGACTTCAAAGTGATGTCCATACACAAATTTGTAAAATCTTTTGCAGTGAAATAAAACACTGAGAGCCTCTTATTCCAAAAGACAATAGTTCTTCTCAGCTAAAATGGTGGCATGTGATG